GATGGCACACATGGATGATAAACATGGTACTCCCATAATCTTGTCTGTTTCCACTGAAAAACTGCTTCCTCCTTGGATTTTTTTTCTTTTCTTAAAATGGCAGTTACTGTGGAAACTTTTTCTGCTCTAAAGAATGTACTACCATTGAACAGGCTACCCTCCACAGTGTGACCTATCTTAAAAACAGATTTGCTATTATCTGTGCTAACCTGAAAGCCTCCTTTGCATTAAGTACGTGTCCATCATCATCAATGTAGTCGAGTTTAACATTTGGTTTGAAGCCCTCCTTTTCTTTGAAGTCTGAGGTTGGACCACTGTAGCACTCGCGATGCCCAACTTTTCATCATCTCTGAAAAAGATACTGCAGTACTGTATACTAATTCATTAATTAGTCTTGCTTGCTTACTTCGTCCTGTCTTGACCATCATGCACATCTCCCTAATACTCAAGTGGGTCAATCCAGAGACACAAGACGAGACTTGCAATCCAGTCATAGAGAAGATGACAAAGTATTCAAAGCTCAAATATTGTTTACCCTTCAAAATCTCCTACGCTACTCCATAATCAAAGCAAGTGGCCAATCCTTGTGCCTATGACAACTCTCGTCCCTAAGGCCTGCTGCGGAGAAGACTTGACAGCTACAGGACAACTTAGGTGACTTAAATTGCTGCCACCTGCTCATGCTACTTCCTCGCTTGTGGATTTCTATACCCTGAAGATGGAGGCGATACGCTCCTCTAAAACATCGGTTTACACAATATCTATACAGTGCCACATCCCAGAAGATGGCATTCTTCATGAGTGACACTCATTACACACCAAGACACTATACAGTAAAAAAGAAAAAGTAAAGTTATCCCTGTAACAGACCGTGGAGGTCCATAGGATTGTGAGACGTCGATGCTCCCATATTTTCCAGACAATCGGCTCACAGTTGGCGGTGAGGTTGTCAGCCTTATGCGCCAAGCTATCCCTGTAACAGACCGTGGAGGCCCATATGGTTGTGAGACATTAAGGCTCCCACATTTTCTAGAAAATCGGATCATCGATGGCGGTGAGGTTGTCAGCCTTACACACCGGCCACACTTTACCCCCCACGAAAATTCCTGGTACTCATTTCTGAAAAAGATAAATAGTTCCATTCAGTGCGAATAGTTATAATTTTCTTATTTCAATTATTCATACCCTTACATGTTTCAGTCTTCAGAGACCATCTTCAGAGGGACAACTTTCACATCAATACAGTTGAGTAAAAGCAACACAGTGGGTCACAAACACACACAGGACAACATTAAAGAACCCTCTTCTTGAGAACGACAAGGTGGCACACATTCTGCCCCTGTCAAAAGAAATAATAAGAGCGATGACAGGAACCAGCCTGGTTTTCGAATTCCAATAGAATCTTAACAAATTAACTAAAAATATTTTAAAGTAGGAACAGCTGCTGTAGTTGTAAAGACTTTAGATTTTACAGCCAAATGTATATTATTTATATTGTATGTATACATTTTAACCCTTTGACGTGGTCATTTAAATTCCGCGGCTGCGGCTCCTGCGGTAATATATTCAGCCGGCCATTTAAATTTTGCTCGAAAATTATTTATTCATCATTGTTCTTAAATTCTATGAGATAGGAACATGAAACTTTCACTAAAATGATCTTAAATGGTGGTTTTATAACCTTACCTTATAATATGGGCGCCCTGTATCTCGGCCATGGAAGCAGGTTGTTTAGTATTTCAGCAGTGAATGGTACGCCTTGAAGGATGAAACTTTCACTAAANCTCTTTCCTTCTGGCTTTCCCACAAATATCCTGTACGGATTCCTTGTCTCCCCATTCGTGCTACATGACCTGCCCACCCAATCCTCCTTGACCTGATCATTCTAATTATACTTGGAGAAGAGTACAAGTTATGAAGCTCCTCATTATGCA